AACAATTCTTCCTTTAAACTTGCAATCAAGACTCCTAACTGCTATTCTTGAAGCAATATAGGGAGAGGGGGGCAGGGATCAAACAAGTTTCAGTTTACTGAAATAGCATTAAACTGTTATTTGGTTAAGGAATGAGTAAGATTGAAATAACAATAAACAGATGGGGCTATAGAACAAGAAAATCTTATACACTGTCTTTGGAAAAGAAAAGCAGTCAGAACAGTTCTGAAACATTAAAAAGTACCCTCCTTCACAAAGCTGGCAGATCCACTAAGCTGTCCAAGTGAAGAAAATGTCCTTAAATATAGTGTTAGTCTCAACAGTGAACAAACATATTACCACTCTTGCCCCTACAATCCAGTCTCCATGCAGTGAGCATGATATTCTAAAAATGGAAAACAAAGTATGTCACTGTCCAGTAGCTTCCCACTGAACTTAGAATAAAACATAATCTTCTTCCCATGCCTTTAAGGACCTACAAATCTGGACTTTGCCTCTGACACCAACTGCATCTTGTCCCAGAGTCCCAGATGCTTGCCAAGCTCCAGCCCTGGCTTGCTCTGGGCCTTGAACCAGCAAGCTCATTCCCGCCTCAAAGCCTTTGAGCTCATTATCTGTTCCCTGTACCTAGAATTTTCTTTCCCCAGATACTCATGTATCTGGTTCTTGGTTATTGCTTGGGCCTATTATTCAGTTATTATTATCAATAATTCTATTAATTCATCAATATTCTAGTGTCAATCACCTTTCGGGAACAGCCTTCTCTGACCATGTAACCCAGAGACCCCCCCGCCTTCACCCAGCACCCCTGATCACATTACCTTGCTGCACTGTCCTCACTGCACCATTCACTGTCTGAAATCATCTTCCTGCTCCTGCACTGTCTCCCTCTGAGAGGGTGGAAGTTGCAGAGCGGAGCCCTTGCCTATCTGGCTCACTGCAGAATCCACAGAAGACTGGCATGCAGTCTATGCAGGATGAGTGACAGGATGAATGAACATTCAGACAGTTGAGATAATGGAACTATGAATGGGTTATCACAATTCTCAGGGTTAGATCTGCAACATCAAGTGATTAAAACTTTCCTTTGTATTATATAAAATTTAAAACAAGTTTAGAAGGCTAAATTGCTAAGTTGCTTTGTTACTGGTTACTGGCAATACCATAGATTATTGATCAGGATATAGAGAGACTGCAATCATAAGGTACTAACTATACTGTTAGAAATTTCAAATATTAGTAACAACTTGAGTTATACAAAAATTCTTTGTAGAAAATTAAGTGTGACCCAGTAAATTAGTAATCAAGGCCATTGTATTAAATCACTATGGTTAAAGCCTACATAATATTATATGTAAATTATATCTTGATAACTCTGAAAAGAATCATTGGGGCTATACCCAAATATTACCATTCTCTTCTCCCAGGAACCCAATGAATTACACTGCTCCCCCAACCTGAGTCTTAAGCTAGTTGTGGCCATATAACTAACTCTGACCAATTAAATGTAAACAGAAGTGACGTGTGTTGAGACATAGCCTCCATCATCCTTGGTTCTTGAGCAACTACAATAGCAGATCCACAATGGTTGTATACTGAGAACAAGAAATAAATGGTTGCTGTGTTAAGCCCCTAAGATTTTGGAGCTGCCTGTTAACACAGCATAACCTAGCTTATCCTGACTGATACAGCAGCAAGAACCTAGGCTTTGCAATCTGACAGGCCTGGGTGTGAATCAGAGGTCTACGACTAACAGTTTGAATGAGCATGGGCAAGCCATGGCCAACTATCTGGGTCTTAATGTCTTTCATCCATAAAATGGTTATAAAATCTATACTTCATAGGGTGGGTGCAAAGACTGAATTAATAAGAAAATGTACGTGCATACTTAACCAAAAGCCTGGTGTGCTGCGTAAGCACTCAATAGATAGGAAGATGGCATTAAATGTTAACATATCTACTTTAAGCTATTATGCACATGTTGCAGTATGGAACTTCGCTCACCTGGGATGTTCCATAAAGTACAGTAAGTCCTCATTTAATGCCGCTGGTAGGTTCTGCAACTTTAAGTGAAATGTTGTAAAATGAAACCAATTTTACCATAGGCTAAGTGATATAAACAAGAGTTAACTTCCTAAGGCATCTCATCAACATTATAGGGAAAGGGCATTGAAGGAAAGGAGGTGAGAACTGCTATAAAGCATTCTAAACTCTTTATTCAATGAGAGAGACATCTATAACATCCTGGATTCTCCCAGATAAATCTAGGAAACAGAGAAGGAAAAGAGTGGCATATCTCAAAGTTAAATATTAAGATGGGAGTGTAAAGGATGTCTATGATTTGCAAATGGAGAGAAAAGAAAATGGACAGCGAGGGAAGGAAGTAGAGAGACTGCTCCTCTTGTCTGCCAACTAGACCTGGCTCAGTTAGAAGAACAAAGGCTGGGTTCTAAACAGGGAAGACAAGAGATAGTAAGAAAGGGGTAAGTGTTGAGTGGAGAACACACCAGAAGAGAAAGATGGACAAAGAACGCGTGGGTCTCGGGCTCCAGGAGCCCAGGGCTGGGGTTAAAGGGAAAACCTGGCAAGTGACTGCACGAGGAATGACCAAAATGCACTAGTACCGCTGAGCAGTCCACAGTGCCGCTTCAAGTCAGTCTGTGCTTAAACTGCCAGGGGGCTTTGGGCTTTGGACTCGTTTCCTCGGACAATATGGCATGCTCGCTCCTAGGATTCTTTAGTCCCCAAGACTCACTGTCAGGCATATATGAATGAATGATCCTCTTTTATTGTCTTAGAGACCATGCCCATGACAAGGGACAGCTCTGACCGCTAATATTCATCAAAGCAATGCAGATCAGTCCCTCGAGAGAAAAATCTAACACTAAACTCACCATCAAGATTTGAATTACAAGTCAGTCTGGCTCAAGTTAAAACTTTTTTAATTATCTGCATTTTGTATAGTTATTTTGAAGTTTTCAAGCATTTATTGCTCATTTTCACTGGCTGCAAATGAGAAGAATAAACATAAGAGGAAAAAACATAAAATGTCCTGAAACAATTCTTAATTTTTAAAAATTACTAGGACAACTGTTGAAATACACTCATAGATTTTTATGCCGTGACATAATAATCAGGACTAAACATCATGTAACTAATATTCCTCAAATAATGAAAATATAACTAAAGATGCTGAAAATTTACTCATAAAGAGTGGACAATTTTTATAATACAAATAAAATTTTCATTACTACCAGACCATTTAAATTATACCCACATCAGAAATGTGCTAACCATTAGAAACATAAGAAGACCCTTTTCCATTGATATTTGGCATTTGGCATCAAAGGCAGTCCTCTGCAGATCTGATATTAAAACTTGTCAAAAGCAAAATGAAATTGTAAAAGAGCCAAAAAAAGAAATGGTTACAACTCTTTTGAATGGCATGTGGACTTTCTTTAAACAAATTCGTTTGATATAAATGAAATATTAAAGTGAAAGTGTGAGGTGTCAAAGAAATAAAATATTAGAAGTAAAATACTTCTAGACTAATAAGATGTAAGAATTAAAGCATTACTAAGCCTATGACTAAAGTTGTAGCCACTGAAAGAAATAACTGCTGAACAATGAAGCAACAAAAGCAGTGTCAGTATTTAGATTCCACTTTGGAAACTTTCACGATCATTCTAATCCAAAATCAAGACTCTTCTAACAACAGTTCCCGGGCGATTAGGAAAGCAAGTACCCTGGGGTGACAAAGTTCACATTAAGAATCAGTCTTAAAATAGGAAAATATATGAAATCTATAGCATATATATGCACATAACTTTGATGGGCAATGACTGTGAAAATCCACTGTTCTCTTTTCCTCCCCCATTTTACCATTTCAAAAACAATTTGCCTTCAAAAGCATGTCAGTAAATCTGCAAGTTTTAAAGTAATAGAAACCATGTGCCCCATGTGTTCACCAGATTCGTTTTTATGACGTATGGTCCTCTGCATTAAAATAAACATATTTTGATAAAGAAAGTAATGAAAAGAAATCAAAGAATCCATTCCAAACATTTCACATCTCTCAATGCAACACAGGGCTGAATTTATTAAACTTGGCCACCTAATAAAATTGGACTTGTGATCTCGGTTAGAGGCACCTGTAAATGATAAAAGGGTGTCCAAAGTTCCAGTTGATGAAGGATACAAAATATTTTCCAGTCTGGTAGTTTTAAGCTAAGCACTAAAAATTACAGACTCCACATTTTTAAGTTCTGTCCTTCATATTTTTTTAATGTGTTTATAAAGATTTCAAAAGAGAATATTTCTGACACCCATAAATTTCTGTAACTGTTAGTGAATAATATTAAGATCAGAAAATAAGAATCCTACTTTAGAATATATTAAATTCACATAACTGGTTCTACTTATCAGAACACCCTTAAGGCTACAGAAATGTCCACAGCAGAATTGTTTAATCTCCAGGTAAGGAGAAGCACATCTTACATTTCAATATCTGCCCTCTTGTTTCTGTTCCATGAACAGGTTTTTTTAAGGACAGAACAACTTCAACTTTCCCATTTGATTAATTTTGGCCTTAAAAAAAAAACAAAAAAAACTTACAATCCTCTCTTTTCAATCAATGGGTAATCACAAAATAAAAAGAATTAGAAATGAAAGCCTAGTAAGCTTTAAAACAAAACAAAGAAGTAACAGCAGAGTATAGCACAGGAGAGGTAAAAAAAAAAAAAGAGCCTGAACTAAGGTCCCTAAGAATGAATGAGTCTTCCACTCAGGGCTCCGCAGAAATGCCAACCCATGCCCCGCAAAATGCACACCCCACTCCGTGAACAAACGCACACTATGAAAGTAATGAATTCATTAATGGCATTAAGAACAGAAAGAAAAATCTAGGAGGAATAAATGTGTGTGTTACTATCTTTTAAAAATTAAGAACTGGTCTAACATCTAAATAATGTATTTGTATAAATTCTTATATTTAAACTCACCTGATTCATTTCCAATTCCTGTTGTGTTCTGAAAAGATACACACAACAAAAACTTCTTTGATTACATGAGCCCTAAAAAGAAAAACAGACAATTGTAATATGTACCTGCCTACAAATTTACAGTGATTTAAAACCACATACAGAAATGTAGAGTTTGCTCAAAGGGCTATTCATAAAGCAATTCCATGCCAGATCAACTTCAATCTACGCTGAGAGCTCACTTTGGATTTATTAGCTACAATAAAATAGATTTCTTGCTAATCTTTACCAGGGCTTCACTGCACTCTACAATTGAAAGCAGACTCATTAGAATGATATCAAATTTTTGCTTTGGAACTGCATCATTCCTAAGAAGAAATGAGTTAGCTTTGTTAATAGAAACACAAAGCCTTGCTGCATAAATTATGCAATTTAATTGTCCTTCTCTTACTTATATCAACACTGTGTTGAATACAAACACAATCAGACCCCTTTACATTATTTTGTTTTTCAAGTTCCTGGAGTAGAAAGGTGAATTCAGTAACATTTTCATAGGAAGTTCTCTTTGAGAAACAGAACAAAACCCTTGTAAGTGAATTGCAAATGCTTCAGTAAAAGCTATTTGGAAAGAACTACAATTATTCCTTTAAATTTTTTCTTCAATATATTCATAATATAATAAAATAACAAGAAGACAAAATAATTTACAAATGCATGTGACATACTTGTTTTTAAATATCAATCTATGAAGAATGTCCTCTCTGCAACATACATCCTGGGAGACAACGGAACTCTTTAATGATGAATGAAAACCACGCCACTTGAAGGAGCACTTCCACTGGAACAGTCTACATTTTCAGCATGTATACATACACACACTGTTAACCATAATTCTATTTCTTATAATCTCTCCTTTCTAGGCTCCCAAGACACTGCTCACCTTAGAATTTTATGGTCCAATTGTTAACAAACCAAGGAACATGCAACTCAATGCCATTCTTCATACTAGAAGAAACCACTGCCTACCCACTGTCATGAAGAATAGCACTGTGTCATTTTACCCCAGTTCATTAATAAGGACAGTTTGGGGTTTTCTGCTTGCGCTAGTAGTTAACCACACTCACCTGATCACCTTTAACAATCAAAGGCGCTATGTTTCAGTTAGGGCCTGGTCCTCTGAACTAGCTTTTTATTTGTATTTGGCACAGGGAATATATTCCATAACTTGCAGCTGGCTAGAGAGCTCAATCTAGCCAAACCAACACAAGCTCGTGGTAAGTAAATACTCAGTGAATACAATCTCAGGTAACTGGAGGTTAAGCCATGAAGTCCATTCCTTTCAAATTTAATACTGAGCCTTCTTTCTCATATCCATGTGCTTCTTTAGTATACGTCTTCTATTGAATATGCTGATCCTTCTCTATGGTACTGAGGATCATTATCAAGTTACAAATGCATAACTGGGTGTCTAAAAGTGATGAGATTAGTGGCCTGGAAGGTGTGCACACCTGACCCCCTCTACCACAAATGCCTACTGACTGACAGGCGATTCCACAAGTAGAAATCTTGTGTGACACCACAGAACCCCAGGAGAGAACAAAATGTCAGGGTTTTCACTTGCCCTCACTAAGTTTTTATAGGTGGATTTACTAACATTGGCCACAGGGTGTTCTCTTTGAGAAACAGAACAACAACAACAAAAATCCTGTAGTAAAAAGCAAATGTTTTGCCCTGGCTGGTTTCGCTCAGCGGTTAGAGCATCAGCCCGTGGACCAGAGAGACCCAGGTTCGGTTCCTGCTAAAGGTACGTAACTTCGGTTGCAGTTTGTCCCCGGCCCCAGTTGGGGTCGTGTGGGTGGCAGCCACTTGTATCTCTCACATCAATGTTTCTCTCTCTCTCTCTCTTCCTCCCTCTCTCCCTCCTGCTCTATCTGAAGATAAATGCAAAAATGTCCTCGGGTGAGGATAAAAAAAAATTTTTTTTTAATGCAGATGTTTTAATGAAAGATCTTTGGAAAGAGCTACAATGCTTTGCAATGTGAGCCCTGTCCACCAGAATGGTTATAGCTTTTCCAGAGATGAAAGGCAACTGGGAGGCAGGTGGCAGGAGTGACCTAACGTGACTTAGATGTAAAGACAGTGAGAACTACAAACTGGTAGTTACAACACAGTCAAGGGGATGTCAAGTACAGCATAGGGAACATGGTCAATAATACCGTAGTAACTATGGTGCAAGGTGGGTACCTGAAATATCAGGTGGATCACTTTGTAAAGTATATGACTGGCTACTCACTACGCTGTACACCTGAAACTAATACAAAGCAATACTGAAGAGACTATAAGGGAGTGGGTGAAGGCAAGCAAACCTCTTAGGAGGCGAATGCCCCAATCTAGGCAAGTAATGATGGTGGCTTGAGCCAGGTAGTAGAAAAACATGTGAGAAGAGACTGGATCCTGGATCTGTTTGAAAAATAGGGCCCTAAGATTTGATGCCAGACTAGATGCTGGGTATGGCACCGAGGAAGTCAGGGATGACACCAGGGTTTTTATCCTAAGGACATCGAAGAATGGAACAGCCATTTTCTAAGATGCTCCCTTTTTCTGTTTATCTGTTTTTCCCTCTTTTTTTTAAAAACACATTTCTCCTTTCCATTTCCTCCCCTTTTGCAGTTGCTAGCTCACAGGTGCAATTCAAACTGAGATACCCTGACATCTGAAACCACATAACACTGAAGTACAGTAGCCCCTCAGGATCTCAGGGGTCTAGGACCCACCCCCACTGTTCCACAGATACCAAAATCCTCCCATGCTCAAGAGTCTTAAATATAATGGTGCATTTGCATATAACCCATGTAAGTACATCCTCCCACATACTTTAAATCATCTCTAGATTACTCATAATACCTAATAACTGTAAATGCTGGTTAACAGTTGCTGCCGTGTATTGTTTAGAGAATAATGACAAGGAAAAAGTCTGTAAATGTTCAGTACAGACGCCACCTCATTGGCCTAACTCCATAGATAGTACACATCAGCAACACCCTAATGTTTTTCCCCCAGAATATTTTCAATCTTCGGTTGAACCACAAATACAGAGAGCCAACTGTACTTAAAAAATTTTATTCTTTTGTTATCTCAATGAACCTCAACTTCTTCTTAATTAAAAAAAATTTACAGACTGGCTGATTTGGTTCAATGGTTGAGCATCAACCCATGCATCAAGAAGTCACCAATTCGATTCCTGGTCAGGGCACATGCCCAGGTTGTGGGCTTGGTTCCCAGCAGGGGGCGTGCAGGAGGCAGCCAATCCACGTTTCTCTCTCTCCAAAATAATAAATAAAAACATATTTTTTTAAATTTACAATATAATTCAGATTGTTACTTGATTAATAATCTCCTGACTTTCTACACTGTCCATTCCCTCTTCATCCAAATAGGAATGCACTCATCATTTCTTCCCAGAGAAAAGAAAGATCGTCACATCTTTTTTTTTAAGCATTCCCTACATACCAGCAGCATGCTTGGACCCTCCGGTCAATCACTTCTAATCCTAATGGCTAAAAACCAGACCCTCATTTGTTGTTGTTGTTGTTGTTGTTGATCTTCACCAGAGGATATTTTTTCACTGATTTTTTTAAATAGAGTTGAAGGGAGGGAGGGAGGGAGGGAGGGAGGGAGGGAGAGAAACATCGATGTGAGAGAGATACATTGATTGGTTGCCTCCCAAACAAGCCCAACCACGGCTAAGGATCAAACCTACAACCCAGGTATGTGCCCTTGACCAGAAATCAAACCCAGGACCCTTTGGTCCGTGGGCCGATGCTCTAACCACTAAGCCATACTGGCCAGGGTCAGACCCTCATTTTTTCTCTCTCTCCCTCCTGACTTGCAATATTGTCAAATTGTACAATATCAAAAGCACTGCAAATCCAACACAGACTTCGCCAATGACATTTTTAAGTTAAATTTTTTATTAATCTGTACTAAAAACAAGGATGTTATAACAAAAGAATTGAGACTCTGAGGACCACTGCATTTTGGGATGGGCAATTCTTCTGGGGACTATCCCCTTTCCTTTAAGACCGTTTAGCACCACAGTCAATGCCAGTAATGCCTTAACACATTTTGACAATCAAAAATACCTAACACACATCCCCAAATACCGTCCCTGTTGAGCACTTCCAACTGCAGACTCTAAAACTCTAAAAGCAGCTACTGAAGTAACCTCCTGCGATTCCTCCAGCAAGTGTCGGCCATCCTACGTGACTCCACACTCGGTGTGGATGTCAACAGCACTGTTCTTGCATACCCACTTAACCAGGACAGACACCTCAGAGTCGGAGTCTTATCAAATGTGAGAACTTGAACTATCAACCCTATCTGTGCAAAGGCAGAGAGAGGAATCTTTCCACACATACCACTAAAACTTAACAATTCTATCAAATCTTTTTAAATGGTAAACAATTAAGTGTCTGTTTTTCCAAAGGTAAATACTAAATAAAAATCTTAAGATCCCTAGGACTTCTCTGACCTTCGCTTATGCCTTAGTTTCTTCTTTGGATTTCTCCACCTGACCAAAGCTTTTTGAGTATTTCTACATATCCCTTTCATTCCACCTTGTTGCCATTTATCACATAAAGAACAGTAGGCAGATACACAAACACAGAGCATGTAACTTTTTATCACCACTATGCTTTACTAACAAGCATACACTCCCCAAAAAATAAGAGCTTGACCTGGATTTTATATATCCAAGATTTTAATAACACATATGTACTTAGCTCTTTAATATATTGCTTCCAAATTCTAGGACAAATCATCCTCACAAATATTTAACTTAATATCATAAAGATGATTTTGATTATACATGATCAGTATCAATACAGCAATAATAAAATGAGGGACCATTCAAATACTGGTCCCTTAAAATGTCAAGATAACCTCAACTACTGTTAAACTGCTGTCATCTGATACGGAGGGCCAGAGGCCAGAAAACAGAGATATGCAGGCCACCCCGATCCAGCAGCCCCAGCCATATCTCCATCACCCACCCTCTGCACTGAGGCCAATTAAAGACAGACAGACACAAAATGACAGTTAAT